ATTGCCAATGATGCAACGACTCATATAAATATATTATGAAATATATTTCAAACTGACTCATAAAAATGAGTAAGAAAGTGCCTCCAAGGAAAAAGTCAAAATGGATCCAACAAAGTTGAGATTCCATTCGTATCACTCCGTATATCATAAGAATCAAGTGCTTTTTGGACAAGGCAAGACAACCCTTTTGGAGATGTTAGAATTAGTTACTATTATCCTTCAACATGTGTTTGATCACAACATCTGCATCTATTCAAATATTTCGAAAATGTTTTTCTGGAAACATTCTTCTAAACCTATTATAGTATCTGTTTATATTAATGTCAACATCATTGATTGGGATGAGACTCGAACCTGCAACCTCCTTCTTTTTGGGAGATCAACAGTGATGCCATCAGACCACAAGATATTTGGCAATATTTCGAAAATGTTAGTATATACTATCTGTTTTCTTTGGATGCACTTCTAACCTACGAAGTATACTTCATAAGATTTCTTTGGATGCACTTCTAACCTACGAAGTATTATAATATTTGTTTCACGATAAACGCAAATATCTTTGATTGGGATGAGACGCGAACACGTGAGCTCCTCTTTGAGAGTGTCATAACCATGTCATCAAATCACTACATAATTGGCAAAATATGCTTGATATGTTATGTTTCATCCATATTTTATCGTGCTGATTAAATAGCACCCATCGCCAATACTTTTGAGAAATGCGACGAACGTATGTTTGTGTGGCCCAAGCGCATAATTAGTCTTTATTGTTTAAATCGCCACTTCTTGGATATGCAATTTAGCTTGCGGTAAACCTTTAATTAATCACCCTCAGTTTTTTTTTATGTAAGAGTTTATTTTTATTGAAAATTATTCAAGAATACTATCTTTTCCTTGTTTGAATTAGAAGTTATCTTGACTCTTGAGCATGCTACCATTGATTGTGTGATCATATTTAAACCGCTATTGTATTCACTACTTTATCTTTAACAAAGTGCTTCAAGTAGTAAAAGTTGATCTTTGGCCTATTGGTCCATGTTTTATATTGAGATTTGAGAATCATGTGCTTAATGTTTACTTAGTTGCCACACAGCATCTTTAACATCATTATCAAGTGGTAATTGACTAATTTTAATATTTTCATCTCCCTGTGGGACCTGGGGGGAATATTATTAAGAATATATCCTCAAAGTTAACACTCATCAGCAGAGTAGAGATTATGATAATATTTCACAGCTGCTGCTCCAATTTCAGCTAAGCCAGAGTAAGAATATCCCACTTCATCCTTAACTGCATATATGAAATGTCTTGTGTTAAGAGTTAACACAAGAATGGGAAAACTGAGAATTTACTTCCCCATTCTTCAACCATCTCATATATATGTGCCTTCTCCTTCCAATAACTCTTTTCTTGCTTGTGTTTTACTATGAGTTCTGCTTGATTCTTAATCCAATTGGCATTGGATTGCTCATCAGGATCAAATTCAAACTCAACTTTATCATCAATAATTCTTGTTCTATCTTTTTTATTCCCTCAAACGGGTTTCCAAAAATAGATAAATTCAATTCCTTTAGGCATTGAAGTTTAGAGCAAATGCCTCGCATACCTACCCCAATTTTATGAGAATTCCAACTTTTAGTAACAGCATCTCTTAAAGGACAGCGAGTGGTCCACATGTTTTAATAAAACCTAAAAGGTTTAGGAGCAGTGAAATTCTCAAAAGCACAATTCATATAAATAGGGGAGAGTGATCAAATGAGGCCTTACTTAAAGGCTTAAATGCTATATAAAAAGTTCTTCCATGCTCTCAAAATTAGGGGTAGACCTCCCTTTAATTTGTTGTTCCGGTAATTTCATGGCTTCTGCCACTTCTTTTTGTGTGACACTGATTTTAACATTCCTATGAAGTATGAAGGCTTTCCATTGTCCTTCCATTCTTCCGCTGTGAGCCTGGCATGGGAGGTATCTCCTGCTGAAGCATATCCTTAACTAGCAGTGAGGGATGAATCATATTCCAGGGACATCCATGAGTCCATGACTAGGAGCTGCTGAGTAGAGCAAGTCTCATTTGTCTTTCCATGATTTAGGATGTTTTGTACTTGGACTGAAATTTTATAATCAGGTCTTATATGGTAAATGTTTGATTTTTTGTATTTTACAACTGTGGAAGTCTGATTTGATTTTGATCTAGTACTCTAGTCTGATCTGAGAATAAAATATGTTCAAGTAAAAACATCCTTGAAATTGTAACATCTCCTTTCAAAACAATTGTTCAACCCTGCCCACAATTTCATTTTTTAAATAACGGTACCACACTTTGTCCGAATATTAGTGGAATGGAGGTAGTAAAGGGTGGTTTGGAGTTCTTCTATAAAGATTGACCAATTCGGATTTCAGATTATGCCAGTGTAAAGAATATTGATCGCCACGCCCGTAAACCTATCACAGCCTAATATATTTCCATTAATTTCATTTTTGTATTGAAACCACTACATTTAAATATACATTTTCCAATAATAAATGAAGTGAGAATTAGAGTTGCGTCCGTAAACCGAATACCGAATCGAAATAAAACGAATCACAATTGAATTAAACCGAAACGCTAAAAAATCAAAATCAAATGTAAAAAAAAGGGGTTTTTACTTGGATATTACTAATTTTGAACCAATTACCCAAAAAGTGACCACTTTTAAAAAGGGACAAAAAAGTGATCAAGAAGGTCATATATGTGCAATTAGAAAAGATAATGTAACTGCAAAAATTTTATGTCATTGCGTGTTCGTTTTTTTGTAACTACAGCCACCGCCCGTGTCACTGTAGTCACCGCCCGTGTCACTACAATCACCGCTCATGTCACTGTAGCCACCGCATGTGTCACTGTAGCCACCGCCCGTGTCAATGCGGCCACCACCCGTGTCACTGCGGCCACCGCCCGTGTCACTGAGGCCACCGCCCGTGTCACTACGGTCACCACCCGTGTCACTGCGGCCACCGCCCGTGTCACAGCGGCCAGCCCACCAGCCCCCTACCCAGCCCCCCTCCCCTCCCACCAGCCCTCCCCAGCTCACCCCCTAGCCTATCAGCAACCTCCCTCCCCAGCCCCAAAGACCGCCCTCCACAGCAGTGTATTCCGGCCGCCACCACCATCCCATTCCCATTGCCCCTCCCCATCCCAATGCCCAAGCACCAGAAATTCCATCCCCAACCCCTGCTTCCTCCAGCCACGACTCCCTGATCTGCCGCAGACCCCTGCCCTCCTCATCAGTCCCCCTCCCCTGCGCACCAGCCCTTTCCCTGCGCACGCACCCCCCCCCCCCCCCCCCCCCGTGCACCAGTACCTGTCCCCTGTGCACCAGCCCCTCCCCTGCGCACTTGCCCCGTCCCCTGCGTACCAGCCCCCACGCCGTAGCTTCCAACCCCGCCACCAGTCATTTCCCTACCCCTGCCGCACCTGTGTCGCCCAGATCTGAAAAAAAAAAGGTGAAATCCTTCAGATTCGATCCCAAATCTGGATTCTGTGGACGTCGAGGTGGAGCGTCGGCTGAATGGCGAGGCTATTGCGACGAGGTGGAGCGTCGTTTGGATGGAGAGGCTGTAGACGGTACGATTGGAGGCGGTGGCGGTGCGATGGCCGACTGCGGCGGTGCGATTGGAGACTTCGGAGGTGTGATAGCTCACTGCGGCGGGGAGATGCGGACTGCGGAGGGACGATGGTCGACTGTGGGGGAGATGGCCGACCGTGGAGCTGTGGAGAAGAAAGATGACTTGGGATGGAGGAGTATTTGCTGATCTCTTGCGAATTGCGATGGAGAAGACGGGTCACTTTTTTGTGAAACAAAAATCCACTCATATTTTGGTCTAATGAAAGGTGAGAGATAATTTTTTTTTCTCTCAAAAAAAAAGGTGAGAGATAATAATGGTGCCATTCTTTCTAAAAAAAACGTAGTTCTTTGGTTCAATTTTGGTTTTTAACCTACATAATCGAACTGAATAAACTGAACTAATCAAAATACGAAAATTTTATTTGTTAATTGTTAAGCAATACTCCTATTATCATCGATAGTCATTGATTTTCTTGAGTTAGAAAATTAATTTGTCTCAGATTTAGGCATTTAACTTAGTTTATAAATGTATTTATGTATTCATTGCCTATAATAAGTAGCCATATTGATCGATTGTGTCTCAGGTGACATGTATTTAGCGGTTATTAGTGGTAACTTTTATTTTCACGTAACTTAAAATTTTTATATTGATCTAACAAATAGATATTCATTTAAACCATATCCATAAACTTTTTTCAAACTAGTCACACAAAATGTAAATTAATATAAAAGTTACCACTTTCATCCTGAAAAGAAGTTACCACTTTCCTTTTAAGAGTGTTCCAAAAACAAGTTCTCATTTCTATGAAAGGAAACCACTTTTAAGCAAAAAATCACAATTACCCTTATTTTTGTATCTACTTTTTGTTTGATTTGACATAAAGCAAGAATATGATTGGATTATTGGAAAGTCAAACCAAAAACTTCATTTTGGGATAGAGGGAGCATACAATTTTTTTCAAAAAGGAGTATACACTTTCCAAAAAACAATAGAAAAATGTATTATCTCTCCCGTTGTCTCACATATTCATATTATTCAAAAGTCAAAACATATTTATTTCTTCTCTTTTTTATTTTATTTGCTCTAGTACACTTGCATTTTTTATGTAATATGTTTGACCCCTAACAATCATATCATTTTAAATCAAATGACAATTTTTTAGAAAAAAAATCAAAATAGATGAATCAATCAAACCATAGTTTCAAGTTTTTAAATGTAAAACCGAATCAAAACCTAACTGAAAAAATTGAACCCATCCTCTAGTGAGAACTGAGAATATCGAAAAATAAAATCTTTCCACTTGAAATTGTTTCCCAGCATGCCTATGAAATGATGTTCCACAAACAATTTTCACGCGGGAAGAATTGCCATCTGCCAAAAGTAAAATATGTAACCATGGGAAAACGTTCTCCAATTCTATTTCCCATGGAAAATAAACAAAGTTTCACAGACAAACTCTATCTAAGAGAATATAAGACTAGAACAAGAACTATTAACAAAAAGAAAATAAAATAAATAATTGACTAACCATAGTTTATCACTTTTACAGTATAGAGTAGAAGTTTACAACAACAAAAAAAAAAAATAGAAGTTTACAGAGGTTTTCAATGGCATTTCTTTATACAAACAAAAAAAATATAGCTGCCAACCTCAATTAGAAGCCACCAGCATTTGGGATTCAGACTCACTTGAAGTTGAGATTGAGGATGAGGAATTTAGGAGGCTCTACTACTGCGCAAACCTTGGCAAATCAGATATATCTCTCTTGAAGATGACCTTGTTGCTTTTGGCCTCAGCCATGATGTCTTTCTAAAGAGAGGTTTGCATATCTCACAAATTTCTATGCAGCAAAAAAACAGAGTCATTAGTTATGGAAGAATATGTAAAACAACTGCTTTTGGTCCAAAACCTTTAGGGTTATTTCATACTTTTTAGTCCCGACTTATTTATTTCATTTTGGAATAGTAGAGTAGATCCACAGGACAAGTGATCGAGAAGGAACAAAACTGGCAAATACACCAGTCATGTCGTTAAAAAAAAATGGGGTTAGAAAAAGAGAATAACCTGATTTTTCCAAAACATGAATAACCTGATACTTGGGACTGAAAGTGAAAAGTGATTACCCTTGGTGTCTTCACTTTCCAAGAGCTTTATGACAAGATGACCTCCAAGTTGTAATATACCATTATCTCCGATGTCATTCAATTCACCGTCCACTTGAGGTTTCGTGCATGGGGAAGAAAAGGTGCCTCCTCCAACAGCCAGATCAAGTGCACGGTGTCCCAGTTCGGCAGATAGAACTGAATCTCTCGTTGTTATTCCAGAAACTAGTGGACACATGTCAGAAAGTATGACAGAGAACCCCTTTTTCTGCAGGATAGAGATCTATAAAATTAAGCAACTGATCAAAAAGTTTCAAATTTCAATATCAACTAACCTGTATGGCTGTACTCTCAAGCATTGTTGTAAAAATCCTTTTCTAGCAGCTTGGGACCTACTTCCACGTAGACTCTGCGTCTCAGCCTAACTCTTATTACTTAATAACTAGGCGCTAGTGCCTACTTTGCCAACAATTACTCACTTTAGTAAAAACAATATGGATTTGTAATGCGAATTTGAACATTACAAACAAGACTCCTTTTTCAAATAGGTGTAGAGCATCAGTTTTATTAGGGGTGGGCATTTCAAATAGGTTTGGCTAATCTAACCAAGCTAAATCAATCCAAACAAACCTGAACCATATGTGTTTCAGGTTTACTACTTTACTTTGATCATGTCTTCCCCAAACCACATTACTCAGAAGTCAGAACCAAAGCAAAATGAGCTGGCCCAAACAAAAAAAAAAACATGACCCCAATAAAAATCCAGAGCAACAAAAAAGCAAATCGAACCAAATGCACCAAAACAAAACAAATTGATCCAAAGTGCAGTTTTAAATCGGTGATAATTATTTCAAGCCGTTTTAGACGAAACCAAACGATTGCACATGAAAATGTCCCTCCCACATGAAATATTGCATTGGTAACTCTGGAGCAAAAACTTAGGCCAATTGTATACCCTGTTGAGGTAGGCCTATGGTTAATTATCAGGGAGAATTACCTCCTATTACAGGAGGGGTTGAAGTAGGGCTGTAGGGGGTAATAAAAAGGAATAATTACAGTGTGAGAAACTGTAGTTTGAAGTTTCATTATCATTACAGCTATCTTAGCCAATGTATGTTCCAGATCGCTCACTGGGAATTTGGAAGCACAGCAGATCCAAAAGGTGCAAAAGAAAGCAGAAATGAAAAACAAAAATAAGTACTCCGGTTTGAACAGCACCGAAACACAACCTAAAAACAGTGCTAACCACAAAAACACATGGAAATTTGTTTCAATAAGTACCTGAGGAGAAAGATCCTTAATTTTTTCCCTTGGTAATTCCATAACATTGCCACAAACGGTTTGAACCCTTGAATCACAGTGCATTGCTGGAACCTTCACCTTCTGCTCTGCATAATATCACCATTATCCATATCAACCTTAAGTTCTAGCTCATTCCACAAAAAATCATATACAATATGACTTCACTATAATTGTAACAGATTTGATATAACTAAACCCCTAACTATCCAAATAGAAAAGACAAACCTTTGTATCGATCCCAACAATAGCGCCACTACATTTCAATGGACCCAAACTCTGGCATGCCACCTGCAGAGAGAAAAAAGTTCAATTGATACAGAAGTAAATGTGTTCCAATTGACCCTATAATGGACGATTAGGAACTTTCAAGGCTGAAAATATTAGCATCAGATATTGACACAGACACACACCTGAAGCCAAGCACCAGGAGCACATCCTAGATCAAGAACGGAGGAACCAGGGGTTATGAGTTTGAACTGCTTCTGCATCTGCAGCAACTGCTCTTCGACCCAAAAACCGATATTGTATTAGAACAAAACCTCAAGAAAATGTATAACGAGTATTAAAGAAAATTGGTATAAGCGACCTTGAAGGCAGAGCGGGCAACATAACCCAGGCGCTGAGCTTCTCTGTAGAAGAAATCCGGCGTACCTGCTCCTCCACCCATTGTCCTCTGTACGTTTGTGGTGAGCAAAGAAATCCAGAGAGGATAGCATAGTTTTGAATTAGGGTTAAACTCATACGTAGGGTCTGTTTGCAAAACAAATGGAGAGAAGTGATTAAATAAAAGTTGATAGTGTTTGAGAAAAAAGTGATTTTAAAAAGTAAAAGTGAGTAGTGTTTGGTAAAATAAGTACTTTTTGTGTAATAGAAAAAGTAAAAACATTTTTGACGCGGAAGCCGAGAAAAATAAAAGTTGTGGTGTTTGGGAAAATAAGTGCTTTTTTAAAGCCAAAAGCTGAGAAATGCTTTTTTAAAAGGAGTTGCAAACCAACCCGTAGTAATATGAAAAGGATCATTTCTTAAAAATAAAAATAAAGGGAAAATAGAAACTAATAAGGGAAAATGGAAATAAATAGTCCAACTTTATTTGGTCTCATAAAACGATCCCTTTTATTGATAATTGTTGAAAAATCCGACCTTTGACTATTGTCTTCCGTTTTTGGTCCCTTGGTGGCATTTACCGGTTGTGGAATGTTTTTATGTGTATAATGATCGGTTAACTGAGTTTGTAAATATATACGGAGTAAGAAATTATCCTGCGCAACGTCCTCCGTCTTTCTTTCTCCTCCATACTCCGTATTTCACACAGTTCATCACACCACTTTCTCAGTCTTTCTTCCTCCATCTTTCTTCCTCCTTTCTATTTTCTTTCTTCACTTCTTCCTCCTTCCTTGTTTTTCTTATTTGGATTTGTCCGCATACATTCTGATTATATCTTTGAGGCCGATAAAAACATGAATTCAAAAGATTATGGGCCCTCTTCGACGAAATCTGACAAAGAGGCGAATTCAAGCATGAATTTTCATCCCACAACAACAATTCGCTTCAGAGAGTAGTTGAAATGGGATAAATGTCGGGCAGAAGTTTTGGGGCTGCTCTTTATGGCATGTAAGTGTTATTTATTTATCTTCATTGATGTTATTACATAAAAAGTTAAATTAGGGTTTATATATTGAATGTGAGTTCGGTAGTATTTGATTAATCTGGATTTGACTATACTTTGAGTACAAATCCTAAATAGGAGGAATTGATGTTTTATTTGTGCTTCAGGATAAAAACTTTGATTCATCAAGTGAAAAAATGGTGTTGATGGTGATTATTGTTGACACACATTCATTACCTCAGATTCAAGAGGCCAGCATACATGAAAAAGGGACTCACAATTGACCTATAAGCTCAAAAGATGATGTTGAAAGAAAAGATTAAGAAGTTGCTTTTCAAAAATCAAAAACTGAAAGAGGGATTACAGCACATGAAAAAGAAGTTTATGAACTATGTTATACTACGTAAAAATCTAAGTGTTCAAGGGATGAGAAAAAATGTTCACTTGAAATAAGTATTATTTCAATAATAGGTTGGTTAGCCATGAATTTGGCTTTGTGATTCCTGAAATTATACCATAGTTGAATAAAAATGTTTAATCCACTCTTTTGTTGCCTAGTCAAATAGCCAATGTTGGTAGTTGAGGTGTCATAACTATAATGCTACACATATAGCCAAGCTGAAAAAATGTATAACCTCATGTGTAGCAATACTTGAACTGCAAGAATCTTGATGGATTATAATATAAGTGGAATGAAAACTCCCTAACTTGACAATTACTATATTGAAAAAGAAATTAAAACTCGTTAAGTGTAAGTCTAATAGTGCAGAACTTTTAAATCATTTAGGAGGTTCTAAGTAGAAGATTATATGCCCCTCCCCTTTAATGCTATGCTGACAATGGTTTGGTCCACTAAGTACTTATACACAGAAAAATGTATAACCTCAAGAGCAGCAATACTACTAAGTACTAATGTTTACTAATAAATAGAAAATTGTTTTGTATGGCATTCTTGTGATCCCCAGGAGAAAAACCTATTATAGAACATCCACATAAGTAAGTATAAATAAGTATAAATGATGCATCATCATAACCCTTGGAACACACTCATTGCTCTCAAAAAATACGATATAATAAACATTTGTCCATCAGAAAAGGGAATTCAAGAAACAATTATTCATCCCATAAACATATTATACTGCACATTATGAGCTACATACTCTCTGCTTTCTCCACCTTCTGGAGAATATTTGTACAGGTGAAGAGAAACATCAAAGGTAACTGGTGCACATCACTTTTATAGAATGTAATAATTATCCAAACTACAATGTCAGGCCATTCAAAACTATGAGTGAATCACAAGAATACAAATACACTTCATTCAACTACATTACATTCAAAAATACAAATACACTTCATGATAGACAGTCAAATCATAAGTACATTTCATTCTAAAATACATGGTCCGTTTAAAGAAGTCCTGGTAAAGGTTGGATTATTTGTTTCCAATTTCCCAACTAATAATCCAACCTTTTAGCGGTCTTCTTACAATAGTCCCACCTTTTCGTTACTCATGAATAATCCAACCTTCACATCATCTTCATTCACCGGTCCCTAAGCGGTTGATGACCTGCTATTCCAAGTTATTTTCTTATCTTTGCAAACCATTATACAATAAATCTCATCTTTCACAAAGACTTGCAAACCATGGACCCTCAATTACCCATCTCAATAGATGAAAAAAAACCAGGAAGCAATTTCAGAACGCTCTTCACCATCTTCGCATGGATCGAGCCCTACCCTTTCAGTTTTGGAGAACGATGGTGTGCTCACACAATCCAAGTGTGAGCCGGTTATAGACGACGATGATGATGATCAATCTGAGCGTCATGAGGGTTGGACGTCTACTGAAACAAATCCAGGATGGCTGGTCGTCGGGAGATGAAGAAGGCGAGAAGGTGAACTCCTGTGATGTCCACTTTGATGTCTACTTAATTTCCAGATCCACTTGTGCATGTCTTCCAAGACACTCCAAAGGGAAAGTTCCTCTTCCTTGTCTCTATCTTTTGGTTATTTTTGTGTTATGTGTTCTGATTTGAACATGTTATTGAATATGTTTGTTCTAGTGTTGGATTTCAATTTGTGATTGATATAATCCGTATGTGTGTACCAGTGTTGGATTTGAAGTAGCCTTTGGAATATGTGTGTTGTAATTTTGGATTTCAAATTGTGATTAGAATATGGTATGTGTCATTTTTACCAAATTGGACTACCAACTTCTAATCCACTCATTCATTTATACCAAACATGTCTGATAAGCTGTGTTGGATATGCCTAAACATTAAGGCCTTGTTTGGCAATCGGCTGTTAGCTGTTAGCTGGTTATGTCAGCTGTTTGATCACAGCTGGTTATGTTAGCTGTTTTGATTGGCTGGTTATGTTAGCTTGTTGTTAATAAATGTTTGGTAAAATTAGCTGTTATAAACAGCTGTTTGAGTGTAAAAAGACGTATAAGGACAAGAGTGTATATATAATATTTGAGTAATGCTGATAGTGATAATGTTAAAACTATAATTTATTTGCAAAATAAATTATTTAAGAAAACAATATTTTATTTGAAATGTAAAAAGAATAAATTAAATTTTAAAATAAAAGTATAATAAATCTAAACAAATAAATCTTTTAGAATGAAATGAGATGACTTTATATTACAAAAAACATCAATAGCGTCAATTACGAAAAAGAATAATCATGTGTCTCAAACAATTCATTAATACTAATAAAAAGTAAAACCGCGTCTCAAACACTTGACATACTTAGTTTAGCTTAAAATAAAGTAAAGTTGGTCAAAATTATTTGTATTATACTACATTTTATGTTATTAAGTAAACAATTAAAAATACAATAAGGTTTTATTCATAAACTCCCGATCTAAATGTCACATACTGCATTATTTGACGAGCTCTAACTATCTGGAAAATGAAAAGACGCTCTTGTCGAAAAATGAATTCTTGATTTGACAGTTAGGATTATTAATAATAGCTGACAATAATTTGAGATTCTCAATTTTTCCTATTTTTAAAAAACCTCATATTTCAAACATAAAAGTTAATTTAAAAGGCTACTAGGTCATTAATTTGTATTTTTCCTTATAAAAGTAAAATCTTCCGATGGCTTCTATCCCACAAAGAAAAAAAATTATCTTTCTGCCCAGACTTTCACATGATGACGAAGGGTTTCAGATGCCATCTGACAAATCCAAAATTTCGGACATGCCAACTCTGTTTTACTTGTTCTTAGAAAACACAAAAATATCTATTGGAATGGAATGTAACATATATACACTGATTCGTCAAATACCCTTTGCTTTCAGTTGGCAAAGAAGAAACACCCCTGAGAAAAAGAACGGAGATGTCACACCGCACACCAGGGCATAGACTGGAAAAAAAAATTGAATAAGCCGAGATTAGATCAAAACGCTGGGTGGTCTGGCTTTTCAAGTTTCGGCTTGTTCGTGTGGATAAGCCGAATTGAGAAGCTGATTACCAAACAACATTTTTGGCTTTTTAACCTAGTCAAACATCTATTTCGAGTCAAACAAGCTAAAAAACGGCTGACAAGCCGTTTGCCAAACAACCCCTAAAGAGTACACCTTTTATGATTTGAACATGGCATTTTTACCAAATTTTACTGCCAACTTCTAATCCACTCATTCATTTATACCAAACATGTCTTATAAGCTAGGTCTCAGTCAAGAGATTTCCCTTGGGATTAGTTATTATTATTATTATTTTTTTCCTTTTTATGTACTTTTTTTCCTTTTTCGTTTTGTACTGCTTTCTTCATTCAATAAAATTCTATTTCATAAAAAAAAAAAAAAAAAAAAAACATTAAAGTGTACACCTTTTATGATTTGAACATGTCATTTTTAACAAATTGAACTGCCAACTTCTAATCCACTCATTCATTTATACCAAACTTGTCTTATAAGTGGTGTTGGATATGCTTAACATTAAAGTGTACACCTTTTATGATTTGAACGTGTTATTTTTACCAAATTGGACTGCCAACTTCTAATCCACTCATTCATTTATACCAAACTTGTCTTAGAAGCTGTGTTGGATATGCTTAAACATTAAATTGTACACCTTTTATGATTTGAACATGTCATTTTTACCAAATTGGACTGCCCACTT